TGGTTAGTTAGACAACAATTTCATCTGTTAACCCATACTGTTATCTAGCAATATAATTGCTAGTCATACTTTTTCAAAATAATTTACAGTGTTATATTCATAACTTTGCTTTATAGCCACATTAGCTGTTTAGCTAGCTGGCTAACAATTTCTGTTGTTAACTGCTGTTAAAGCACAATCAACAGAACAAATTAACTGCTAGATAGGTAACAGCGAACAATTTCAGCTTTTAACACATATTGTTAACTAGGAAATTTACTAAGATGTCCCACCTCTGATCAGAGAGGCTTCTTCAGTACTAAAACATGAGATTTGAAAATTCTTCAAAAAAAACTCTTAACACAACTTTATGTTCATATTTTTACCTGACTACCATAACAGGTGTGTATCAATTATATTTGGCTAACAATATTAATTGTTAATCCATGATGGTACCTAGCAATTCAACTGCTAGCCAAAAAAATTACCTTTTACTAATTTTGCTGACTACTGTGTGAACTATCAGTTATAATTTTTGCAAAAAAAAAAAATTAATTTGGTTATCTATACAATGTATTAATATATATTTATGCATTCTTTTTAGATGCTGCTTTGTACTGCTCGTACATTAATTTTAATTATCCATTAACGCTTCTGTGCAAACCTGTTCGGGTCCACTTAAAGGAAGGAAAGCTAAATCTTTCCTACTGCAGAAATATCGCCTGGGACACTGGGAAATCAATGACCTACAGGATCAATATATACTGATATGGTATATAATAATATGGTTCCCTTTGTTTGCTTGTTTCTAGCACACTACAAATCATCACCTGAAAGCAGAACCCATCTGAGTCAGCTGTCAGAGATCATTTAAATAATGTAAGAAAAAGGAGGCAAAAGCAGGACAAGCCAGCAATTTGGCAGAGAGAGAAAATGAAGATGGAAGGAAAATGGTTTGGCAAGAATGTGCAGAGAGAGCAGCAAAACTGGAGTGAGGGATAAAGGTAAAGAGCAAAAAAGGCTGCAAAGAGAAACAACAGAGGGGGTTTGAGGAGCTGAGACAGTTGAACCATGAAGACAGGCGTGCCAGTGCAGAAATGTTTGGGAAAAAAAGTGGGAGGGAAGAACTGGAAGACACACAGAGCGAGAGAAGAAAGCAGAAGAGTCTCAAAAGCGTGGAAAAAGTTAGATATTACATCCAGTTGGGGAGTCATCACAGATTGAAAAGTTGACACAGTGAGAGGAAAGAAAGCCTGACAGAGCAGTAAAAGAGATCGAGAGCTGTCCAAGAGGAGCCAGAGGGAAGCAGGTGTCCCAGCATCCATTTGGATGAGCCTCTTACCTTGGCTGATGCCGGAGCCACCGATCCTGCTGCCGAGATGCCTCGCTTGACCACTAAGTCGCTGCTCGATGTTGTCACGGCAACTGTAACTGGAGTTGGAAGAAGGGAGGGGATGACTGGGAGGGGAAGGAGCCCCGGACGGTTGTTGCCGTTGACAACGGCAGAGGCACAGCTATGATTGGCTCCTCCATTGTGGAGGCCAGAAGGACGGATGTCTCTCCGCTCCCAGGGTGCCCGGTAGTCCCTCTCAAAGCGATGGTGGTGGCGTGACATCACTTCCTCTTCCTCTCAGAGGGAACAACAGGGGCAGGCCTGCGTGAAACGGGAAGAGGGTAAAGGTCATTTCAACCATGCAGTGCAAGTGGCAGCGAGCGATACAGACACGAATAGAATAAAAGTTTCTGGGAAAAAACAAAGAACAGAGCGACACGTAAAGAGTGAAAGAGTCAGTCAGTAAATTAAGGAGAAAACATGTTGACATGAAGGTGTAAATGCTCACAGCATCTGCTCCCAGCGCACCTGACTGACGCGAATACACGGCGGTTCATTTGTTGCCTCTAATTCCTATTCTCCCAGTCATTAACGAGAGCTGCGACAAGAGCGAGAGAAATGAGCGCCGCTGAGCAGCTCTATAAAAAACACCCATCAGTGCCAAACCATAAGGAGCCAAATGTGTTATGTGAGGCGTCTAGGCACGGCGACGACAGGTTCAAACAAAATGGCTGAGCCAGACGCAAGCAGGTACACGCTCAGTTCAAGTTGTCCTGAGGGCGGCGCGAGCAGTAACACGACCTTGCGGTCAAAACTCATTCATCTAAATAGATAAATACCCGCGTCACCCCCCACAACCCAATTACAGCTCATCTCACACATCTAATGGCTGGTTAATTCAATCAGATTGCCCTTGAAGTGCATTGGAGGGTTCTCCCTTTTTCGAGCACAGCAGGCTGCGATTAGGGATGGGTACCGGTATCCGGTGACATAAACGG